GCCCTTCTCAGCCTCAAATCATTCAAGGATCAATAGGAAATCGTATTTACATTTTTTGGGGAGGAGATATGCTTTTTCTTGCGGCTCTCCCGTTTTATTTGGAAGCAAAGTATACGGAAGCAAGTGACTTTCAATTCTAGCTTCTTCTTCTTTTAAAGAAATAAGAATATTTGTTTCTATTTCCTTAAGGTATACTTCTGAAAAGTGTTTCCCACAAATCTTTAATATTTTCAACCGCTTGTTTTGTAACTTTAAGCTAAAATTATTTGTGTTTGAAGCTTTTCATATGTATATAGAAAAGGAGACATAATAAGTGTGTTTAAAGATACCTGTACGAGTTAGGCCCTTGTACTATTTTTTTGATTTTTTACTTCGGAGCGGGACTTAGCAAATAGCTTCCACTTCTAGCTAATAAACAAAATGTATTCAAAGGAAATTTAGTATTTTCTAAAGGAGGCATCTAAAAATCGTTTTACACAAAATTCTAAAGCAACGTTATGATCCATGAGAAATACATAGAGATAAAAAGGACTCTATTGCAATAAACTAATCTTTCATGTTGTCAAAATAGGACAATACTAATATTTGCCATTTCTGATAACCTCAGAGGATAAGTCTCACAGAGAGGTGCTTTGTGAATGGAAGACGAAAACAATTAAGTGTGAAGCAGGAGAAACAATTAGGGTAGTTTCTGCAATGTATGGCCGCAAAACGAAGACGTTGTGTCCTCACCGAGCTTCACATAACCTAAAATGTGAGGCAAAGTCGTCCATGGTCAAAGTCAGTCAAGCATGTGAAGACAAGGATAAATGTGTCCTCTCCGCCTCCAACTCAGTGTTTGGGGATCCTTGTGGGGGAACATTCAAATACCTGGATGTCAAATACGAATGTATCAAACCTGGTAAGTTATTCTTGTTTGTGATTGTTATTGTTTGTATTTTGATTTTGTATGCTTGTTATTTTAAGTAACCGTTGATAAGTGTTTGTCCTGATGTATGTAGATGTAATTATATCTAGCTGTAGGTATACAGGGGTTAACTTCAGGTGTTAATGTTTGTAGATCTGTTTGTCTGTAAGTGTTTGTGCTTTCGTTTGGACAAGGGTAGACAAGGGTGTAGTGTTGGTGTTGATATAGTGGTGAGTGTGTGAACAGTGCTTTATATTAATGCACGTAGGTGTCTACCATAGTTCATTTTTTTCAGTAGAATTTAGTTGCCTATGCACGACTATATTGATATAATTCCTCATTTATTTAGGTTCTGTTATATATAAAGTTGTTTATACACATATCTATACATTTACCTAATGCTTTTTCTGTGATATACTTTTCCATGTCTTTGTGTATGTAAACAATGTGATTGTATGTACAATGTATTGAACAAGTCTCTTTGTATATATCATCATTGTGTAAATTCACAAAAAAAAATAAAAAATAAGATCTCAGACTCGTATCATTGAAGTTACTTGGTATGGTTTCTTAAAGATGCACAATATCAGATCGTCATGACGTACTACGATCAAGTGTCCGTCAGAGGAGCTTCTGTTCACCCGTCCGCCTGTGGATGGAACTTTGTCCAATACATTGCAGCGTTGGTCATGACGTTTACACACTTAATTTTGTTTTTATATGAAGGCATTTCAGTGTTCTGATATCTTTAATCTCATTTGGTAAAAGTACCCTACTTACTTTCTTGAAACTCGGTACGTATAATTTGTTATTTGTTTCAAATTTTGTTCAGGAATTAGACCCCTTTCTTGCCCCTTTGTATTTGGGAATGGATCGGGATTTGGAAAGCAAACTATGACTGTTGAAAAAATACTGTTTAAAATAATTATAATAAGAATGTTTCATGCGTCAAAATAAGAAAAATATGTCATTTGTATGTCTCCAGAGGATAACATTCACAGAGAATTGCTGTGTGAATGGAAGATGAAAACAATCAAGTGTGATGCTGGAGAAACAATTAAGATCATGTCTGCCATGTACGGTCGCAAATCCAGATCAGTGTGTCCTCACGCAGCTATGTCTAACCTTAAATGTGAGGCAAAGTCGTCCATGGGCAAAGTCAGTCAAGCTTGTGATGGCAAGGATAAATGTGTCCTCTCCGCCTCCAACTCAGTGTTTGGGGATCCTTGTGGGGGAACATTCAAATACCTTGATGTCAAATACGCATGTATCAACACTGGTAAGTCCGATTAAGCCAATATTGATATGAATTAGCATAAGGTAAAATGCATAGATATTTTGCAACACAAATACTACTTGCAGTTGGTATGATACCGGTTGTTCACAAACTAACATTGCTGAAATAGCTTTCTGCTAAGTGTTCATATAACAGTATAGTTAGCTTAGAGCTATTGACAGAGAAACCAAAACGGGAAGCTGGCTGAAGAATTGGCATGATGTAATCTTGGATATACAATTTTCACATTAAGATACCTTTCATGTCAATCAATCTGTTTATCAGCTTTATCGGTTGCGAATCAAGGTTACTTGGACAGTTTAAGTTTCGAAGTAACTACAAAAATGTTTCCAGATTTGCATGCCATACGACGCTATCCATTAAGGTATCAATATCAGACATTTGTTTGTTTCAAATCTAATGCTAGTTTGGAGACAAAATCAATCAGAATTGTTTTTCACTTTGAAATATGTATGTGTATTTTTTGCTTACATTGATTGTTTTACTCTCGTACAAGCCAAGCTTCCAAAGTGTCCCTTTTTGGATACAGTTTAACCTATATTTGCACGATTCATCGAATCATTGGTTTGTAAAACCGATGCTTTTACCCAGACAGTTTCGCTGACATTTTGCCAGCATGGTCGCTGGTGATGTTAATGATGTGGGGGTATATCACAACCTAGTTCGTAGGTCGCCTCTAAGCGGTTCACAAATTATTATTCGTGATTATAGGGCATTTGGAACCAGCCAATATATTTCTCAACTCCATGGGGAGCATTCAGCCGGTGATGTGATTTCGGCGCTCAGAGCTAGCATTCTACAATGATAGCACTGTCCAACAAGCGGAGTTAAGTATCTTACTCAGAGATACGACAGAGTGCGGTACCGTGACGCGAACCCGCAACTCTTCGGTCACGAGCCCGGCGTCGTACCACTAGACTACCATGCCTCCCACATAGCAGTGACTCGATGAATTTTGCAAATATTCCTTACATTCCTGCTAAAGGAACCTTTTCAGTGATACAGTTTAACCTGTTTTGTAGAACCTACATAACCTTGATAGTATTTCAGGTTTGTCTTTTGTCTAAAACGGCATAAAACAACTTAATACTGATAACTTGTTAGTGCGTAAGTACATGTGTACTTTTGAAGAGTAAAGAAAAGCAGATATGATTACATTTCACAACAATAAATGAATAGTATCATCTTTTGGTTTTCATCAGATTTCCGTTTATCGTTTGGTTGACAGGTGTTCGATATGTCTCCATCAAGACAGAGAAACAAGGCAAAATGCCTTATACATATACTCTCTTAGACAAATATGGTTACATTATTGGAGATACTACATCAATAGAGTTAACAGTGCAGGCCTGTAATGACGCCCATATCGCACTGATGGGCCAGAGTGGTGAGAATGGAAAGTTGTACGAGATCGTCATTGGAGGATGGGGAAATTCAAAATCCGTGATCCGAACGCAAAAGCAAGGACAAAACTTGTACACCAAAAACGGAAGGCGTTTGGACTGCCGCCAGTACCGGAAGTTCAAAATATCATGGACTGGCGGATTGATCACGGTACAGAGCTACGTCAACGGCGTTTTGTTGGAATTCCTGAGGTATAAAGACCCATCACCCATGGATATACAATCTGTTGGAGTCAGCACTGGCATATGGGCAACTGGCGAATGGAGAATTGATATCAAAGGTATTATGAGGTGGGAAAAGACTTAAACTTTGTCGCGGAATGTGTATAATGATTTTGTTTCAAAATGTAAGTCATAATTCTTTGAATAATTTGTCAGATGGTCAATACAAATCTGGGTATCCAATTGTCGAATATTTCTTACAGAAACAAAATATAATATAAATAAGGATAATTTTGAATTCTGGGGTACCCAATACAGATTCCGGGTCATTCGTTTACTTGTGACACCAAATCCGTACTGTTATCATATCTTAGATAAAGATACAGATACATTATTTAAAAGATTGACAGTGGTTACCCACAAAAATAATTCATTAATAAGATAGGTTATGCAATTACAATTTAATGTTAAAGGTTTCTAAAAAAAATGCTAAAGTTAATAATAAATGTTATGAGTAAAAAAATGCACATGCTTTTCTCACATTTGCTTTATTGTTTACTTTTACCAACTAAGATGACGACAAGTGTAACGGTAGAGAATGCCACGCCAATGCTATGTGTACCCGAGGTGGGTGTGTGTGTAAGCGGGGATATTACGGCGATGGTTATAACAGCTGTGAAAGTAAGTAAACCATTGGAGTGGTTGATATCGTCAATGTTTGTAAATCAGACTGAAATTGAATTTGTTAGTATTCCACAATTAATATGTGAGACTATTGTTCTTGGCTTTGATGCTTGATTATCATTCTATTGTTCTTGGCTTTGATGTTTGATTATCATTCCATTGTTCTTGGCTTTGATGCTTTATTATCATTATATTGTTCTTGGCTTTGATGCTTGATTATCATTTTATTGTTCTTGGCTTTGATGCTTTATTATCAATCTATTTTTCTTGTCTTTGACGCTTGATTATCATTCTATTGTTCTTGGCTTTGATGCTTGATTATCATTCTTTTGATCTTGCTTTGATGTTTGATTATCATTCTATTGTTCTTGGCTTTGATGCTTGATTATCATTCTATTGTTCTTGGCTTTGATGCTTTATTATCAATCTATTGTTCTTGGCTTTGACGCTTGATTATCATTCTATTGTTCTTGAATTTGATGCTTGATTATCATTCTTTTGTTCTTGTTTTGATGTTTGATTATCATTCTATTGTTCTTGGCTTTGATGTTTGATTATCATTCTATTGTTCTCGGCTCTGATGTTTGATTATCATTCTATTGTTCTTGGCTTTGGCTTTGATGCTTGATTATCATTCTATTGTTCCTGGCTTTGATTTTTGATTATCATTCTATTGTTCTTGGCTTTGATGCTTTATTATCAATCTATTGTTCTTGGCTTTGACGCTTGATTATCATTCTATTGTTCTTGAATTTGATGCTTGATTATCATTCTTTTGTTCTTGTTTTGATGTTTGATTATCATTCTATTGTTCTTGGCTTTCATGTTTGATTATCATTCTATTGTTCTTGGCTTTGGCTTTGATGCTTGATTATCATTCTATTGTTCCTGGCTTTGATTTTTGATTATCATTCTATTGTTCTTGGCTTTGATGCTTTATTATCAATCTATTGTTCTTGGCTTTGACGCTTGATTATCATTCTATTGTTCTTGAATTTGATGCTTGATTATCATTCTTTTGTTCTTGTTTTGATGTTTGATTATCATTCTATTGTTCTTGGCTTTCATGTTTGATTATCATTCTATTGTTCTTGGCTTTGATTTTTGATTATCATTCTATTGTTCTTGGCTTTGATGCTTGCTTATCAATCTATTGTTCCTGGCTTTGATGCTTGATTATCATTCTATTGTTCCTGGCTTTGATTTTTGATTATCATTCTATTGTTCTTGGCTTTGATTTTTGATTATCATTCTATTGTTCTTGGCTTTGATGCGTGATTATCATTCTATTGTTCTTGGCTTTGATGCGTGATTATCATTCTATTGTTCTTGGCTTTGATGCGTGATTATCATTCTATTGTTCTTGGCTTTGATGCGTGATTATCATTCTATTGTTCTTGGCTTTGATGCTTATTTATCATTCTATTGTTCTTGGCTTTGATGCTTGCTTATCAATCTATTGTTCCTGGCTTTGATGCTTGATTATCATTCTATTGTTCCTGGCTTTGATTTTTGATTATCATTCTATTGTTCTTGGCTTTGATTTTTGATTATCATTCTATTGTTCTTGGCTTTGATGTTTGATTATCATTCTATTGTTCTCGGCTCTGATGTTTGATTATCATTCTATTGTTCTTGGCTTTCATGTTTGATTATCATTCTATTGTTCTTGGCTTTGATTTTTGATTATCATTCTATTGTTCTTGGCTTTGATGTTTGATTATCATTCTATTGTTCTTGGCTTTGGCTTTGATGCTTGATTATCATTCTATTGTTCCTGGCTTTGATTTTTGATTATCATTCTATTGTTCTTGGCTTTGATTTTTGATTATCATTCTATTGTTCTTGGCTTTGATTTTTGATTATCATTCTATTGTTCTTGGCTTTGATGTTTGATTATCATTCTATTGTTCTTGGCTTTGATGCGTGATTATCATTCTATTGTTCTTGGCTTTGATGCTTGATTATTATTCTATTGTTCTTGGCTTTGATGTTTGATTATCATTCTATTGTTCTCGGCTCTGATGTTTGATTATCATTCTATTGTTCTTGGCTTTGGCTTTGATGCTTGATTATCATTCTATTGTTCTTGGCTTTGATTTTTGATTATCATTCTATTGTTCTTGGCTTTGATTTTTGATTATCATTCTATTGTTCTTGGCTTTGATGTTTGATTATCATTCTATTGTTCTTGTCTTTGATGCTTGATTATCATTTTATTGTTCTTGGCTTTGATGCTTGATTATCATTCTATTGTTCTTGGCTTTGATGCTTGATTATCATTCTTTTGTTCTCGGCTTTGATGCTTGATTATCATTCTATTTTTCTTGGCTTTCATGTTTGATTATCATTCTATTGTTCTTGGCTTTCATGTTTGATTATCATTCTATTGTTCTTGGCTCTGAGGCTTGGTTATCATTCTATTGTTCTTTGCAGAATCATGTTTATGTATGGCATCAGGCGACCCCCACTACAGGACGTTTGACGGTCAGATGATTCACTTCATGGGCACCTGCAGATATACACTGACTCGCTCACTTGATCGTGGCGGCAAGTGTGCCTTCAATGTGGAGGTCAAGAACGAAAGAAGGGGTCAGAACACAAGAGTTGCCTTCACTCGCTACGTAGACGTAGAGGTGTACGGCAGAAAGATCCGTCTGCATCAAAACAAGAAAGTCTTCGTAGGTCCTAATTGTTGTGTGCTTCTTAAGTGGGCAATCGTCCTTTAGTACACCCTGAAGACTACAATAATGAATCTATGAAAATGTACTCCCTCATCAATTAAATTTAGCTTGAAAGCGTAAAATTATCAGTACTTTGTAAATATATTGTTAAATAATTTTTCGAACCAAATCGCAAAGTCTCCAATGCTGTTTGAAGTAATCTAACAAAGATAAAACTATTTCCTGATCACAATTGATTCATTTTTTAGATTGACAACGAAAGACGATATCTTCCGGTGAAGGAGTTAAAGGGTCAACTTACGGTGACTTTCAGCGGTCGATACGTGCAGATATGGACGGAATGTGGACTTTTGGTTAATTTTGACGGCAATCACGCTGTCAGTGTTGTTGTACCGAAATCCTTCAGCAGGAACATGACAGGGCTATGTGGCGACTGCGATGGGAAAATGAACGACTTCCGAACACGTGACGGAAATGACGTCACAAAGAAAAGTTCGCGGTACAATATCATTGGAAACAGTTACAAGGTCCTAGAACATGGCACTGCGTCCAATTCCAGGTATATGGTAATTCTGTGCTTGCCCATTGTTTATTTTTTCCTGCTTGCGATAGTGTCTTTAGTACAGGTCCCACCAATCGTTTATTCGTTACGATAGATATTACTCGCAACATTTATGAATGATCTTTAAAATTAAATAAAGGTTAATAACTTCTACTTCGTCAATGAGACGTTTCGTCTTGTGAATACCTTCACATTCGTCAACCCTTTAAAGTATTTGTTTAATATTCATTTTGCTTTTGGTTTTCAAACTCTTTCGGTATTAAGATACAATTAATACTTTTGTCGTAGCATTTTCGTTAACTCTACAAAATGAAAATAGCTTGCATAATGCGAACATTAATGAACATTCCCTTTGAAAAAAACAAATTTCCTATTAAACCATAAATTGATGTACGTGCTTATCATTTCTCTTTTAAAAAGTAAACTTGGATCTTAACAAGGAAACAACTCAAAGCTTATAAGGGGTCTTAGTTGCTTTCATGAGTCCTAAAATAGTGTGTATTTTCTAGATGTGTGCCGGTAGCCCAGGACTCTCCTAAATGCGATTCTTCATTAGCTAACCGCCTGAACAGACGCGAGTACTGCGGTGAAATCACAGAGAAAACCGGACGGTTTGCAAAGTGTATTAGCAGGTTTCCTGTCCAAGCAAAAAGCTTTTTCGATAGTTGCGTGTTTGACCTGTGTTCATTCCAAGGGGAGCCAAACATGATGTCCAAGGTGAGATGCAATTCGGTTGAGGCATTCGCTGAGGAATGTGAGGAAAATGGCATCATTGTCAACTGGAGGAGTAAAGAATTCTGTCGTGAGTATTGTTTAAATGAGCATTGTTTATATGAGTATTGTTTAAATGGAAACTTTACTAAATTATTTCTATTTCTGTGAGTAAATTAGGTGTTAGATTGCCTAACGAATTAAAACAGAATATTGATGTCAACTAGACTAAGGCAATTACGCTTTGCCAAGTTGGCTTTTATTTTGTTTATAAATGTCAGGCAAAAGCAATTCATTACGCATATTTACCATTTTCGAATATCTACTTTGTATTTTATTTCATATGAATCTTATGAATTTATCAAAATTCAGCATCTAGAAGTGTATGTATCAATTATATGTATGACTGTTTATTGAGTAGAACAACTATCTTCAAATGAGAGTCAGTGGTATCTACGGGTCAGTTACGACGTCTTAATTATGTTCGAGTCTCTTTTAGGCTATGACATATACAGATATAGATATTGAAATTCAACGCAATGGTAAATAATGTGTTGTCGATCTTAATATAGTTTTAATGTGCTAGCGAATATGTGACTTATAATTAAGTATACATCTAATATGAGCAGGAGAAAAATGATTTAGGCGAAACTGTTATATTCTCAATTCTATTTACATACCATCTTGAATACAGTTTGTTGAAATGAAATGAAATGGAAAAGAAGTGGATTTTGTCGAAAAATCTAGTGAAATTAATAATACTATCTGCATATGCAATTAACAATCATAAAAACCACTGATCATTAAGGAAATAAAACATAATAAATAATATACATTATAAAAAAGACTAGTTCTTTGCTGTCAGAAAATTGTATACGTGTTCGATATTACAATAATCTTGTTCTTAGCTTTAACCTGTGAAGACCCGAACATGGTGTATAAGGCCGACGCTTCAGGGTGTCCCTCCACATGTGTTGATCCCGAGGCGCCCTCTAGCTGTACCCTGGAGCCACGTGAGGGATGTGTGTGTAAAGATGGCTTTGCCCTTAGTGATGACAAGTGTATCCCTCTAAGCCAGTGTGGGTGTGTCGACTCCGACGGCGCCTACTTCCCAGTGAGTGGTATTTATCGTTACTTTTGTATTCCACCGTCATATTTCAATACTGTAATCAGATGACTTAAGATGGTATGGATATTGATGTTTACAATACATATTCAACATTTTAACTTCTATTCATTAACAAAATAGCAAAGTAACTAGGGATATTTACTGATGAATAAGATTTAGTTTGACTGTTGGAAATGTTCTTGTAACGATTTCCGATGTATATATACCCTAATTTCTCGATGATTGGAAAAATGCTTAATCTTCAAAACATTTACTAATTGCTCCTAAAATCGTGTTTCAGTTGAAAACCAGGAAGTCTTCACAAGACTGTGGTACGGATTACGTCTGTCAAAGGAGGGGGCTCAACAGTAGGTTAGTTCCAATACGGTCTGGGCGGAAATGCCACAGGAAAGCTCAGTGTACGTTGGACAAGAGCGGGGAACGAAAGTGTGTCTGTAACCAAGGGTACGAAGGAGATGGATACAGCAATTGTAAACGTACGTAATGATCCGGAAGTATCAGCAACACTTATACACATTTGGTCTACTTTTAACTATGAAAATGTATATCCTGAATTTTTGATACCTTATAAATCTTATTGCATATTTGCATCATTTCAAGTAATGTAAAAAAACAACCATATACACTTATTAGAATTTCATTTATCTAAACGTTGGTTTGGATACTGATGATAACATAAGATTAAAATTTCTCAAATAACATGAGGTTACAAAAAAAGCATTTAAATCAAATATAACAATAAAACTCAGTATTACATTTTATGTTACGTAGTTAATGCCGATTAATATATATGACATTTATTTTCTGTATATTTTCTTGTTATCCAGCTCTATGTGGAATGAAGTTCAAATGTCATCCTCAAGCAAGGTGTAGAAATGGCAGGTGCAAGTGTAACCGAGGGTTGTCAGGTGACGGGGTCAGAGAGTGCCAGGGTGAGAATCACTAAAACGCTTGCTATGAATGACACAATTGATTAATTAATTAATTTATTTGGTTTATCGTTTGAGAATGCGTTTAAAATGCTCAATTAAATGTTAATGCAAATGTCTGTTTTGATCTATATGTCATTTGTCCGTATTGATATATATGTCATTTGTCTGTATTGATATATATGTCATTTGTCCGTATTGATATATATGTCATTTGTCTGTATTGATATTTATGTCATTTGTATGAAACGTAGATTTTTATATACGAAGTAACATGAATTAGCCATAAAATTACACAATGTCTAGTTGTACAAAAATAGATAAAACTTTCATTTATTTGTTCTTGTTATTACTTAAATATTTAAAGCCCAAGTTTTATCTTCTTTTCTTGGTCGTCAATATTTTGAAATGTTGCAGCTGATGGTAAACAAAGTTAAGATTAAAAATATATAAATCTTTCTTGATTATATACCCTTCCTCTTTAAGAAAAACGAATGATGTCTAATCTTTCCTTGCAGAAATGTGCACCTGTGGGGCCAGTGGCGACCCTCACTACAGGACATACGACGGCCAGATGATCCACTTTATGGGGATCTGTAAGTACATCCTTACACAGACGACTCGGGAGACAGATCCCTGTAAGATATCGGTACAAGTATCCAACGAGCGTCGAGGTAGGAACAGGCGAGTGTCATTTACTAAGTCGGTCCATGTCCAGGTGTACGGAAAGAAAATTGTCATGAAGGAGGATAAACATGTCTTCGTAAGTGTTTAGCATATATTTTACAGGGTCACGCAATGAGTAACATACATGACACTAACCTAATATTGCGTGGGGAGTGCGTAAATACATGGTACAATATTCATTATTGTGTAACTAACATAGTACAGGGTCCAATAATGTAATACAAATACTATGTGATCCAATACAATATAATACATATAATACAGGGTCAAAGTATGTGTAATACACATAATACAGGGTCCAGTATTGTGAAATACATATAATACAGGGCCAAGGTATGTGTAATACACATAATACAGGGTCCAGTAATGTGTTATACATATAATACAGGGTCGAACTATGTGTAATGCATATACTACAGGGTCCAGGTATGTGTAATACACATAATACAGTGTCCAGTTATGTCCAGGTGTGTGTAATACATATAATACAAGGTCCAGGTATGTCCAGGTGTGTGTAATACATATAATACAGGGTCCAGGTATGTGTAATACGTATAATACAGGGTCCATGCATGTGTAATATATAAAATTCATGGTTCAGTAATGGGTAATACATATAATACAGGGTCGAAGTATGTGTAATGCATATAATACAGGGTCCAGGTATGTCCAGCTGTGTGTAATGCATATAAAACAGGGTCCAGGTATGTGTTATACATATAATACAAGGTCCAGGTATGTGTAATATATATAACACAAGGTCCAGTAATGTGTAATACACATAATACATGGTCAAGGTATGTGTAATACATATAATACAGGGTCCAGGTATGTGTAATATATATACTTCATGGTCCAGGTATGTGTAATACATATAATACAGGGTCCAGGTATGTCTAGGTGTGTGTAATATATATAATACAGGGTCCAGGTATGTGTAATACATATAATACAGGGTCCATGTATGTGTAATATATATAATTCATGGTCCAGTAATGTGTAATACATATAATACAAGGTCCAGTTATGTGAAATACTCATAATACAGGGTCCATAACTCCTTACTTATAAGGAAATGCATTTCAAAGGGTAAATTATTTTTGTATCTACAACATCGGGAATCTAACAACATCAGAACAGTATATTTAACGACAAAGCATATTATTATAATGCGTTAGTGCGCAGATGAAAACATAGTTGTGTAGTAATGATTTCGTGGAATGTTGCGGAGATATGCCAGACAGATCGGACGAGATAGATACATCTAACACGGGGTATCACGTTGTATATCCCTGTCTGAGATACGAGAATAGAATTTCGGGTAGACTTTAATAATGATAATAATAATAATTCGAGGTTCTTATACACCGCTTTATCATAACCTAGTTCGTATGTCATCTCAAAGCGGTTTACAAATTATTATCCGTGGTTATAGGGCCTTTGTAACCAGCCAACATATTTCTCAACTCCCTTTTGAGCATACAGCCGGTGCTGCCATTTCGGCGCTTACAGCTAGCATCGAGTGCGGTGCCCTGACTCATACCCGCAACCCTGCGGTTCATGGAATAATTTCTAGCAGCAAAGTTACGGCCAACCGCAGGGACTAATTGTCCAACGTAAAATTATCATGAGAACCACGAAGTAAGGAATTATTCATTTAAAAATGTTAAGGGTGCTTTACAGTACAGTCGAATTTGATTGAGAGAGCATCCCATCAAGTATTCAAATTTCACCACCATTTTCTCATCTCAACAAAGCGTAAGCTATATGTTAAATCTCTAGTGAGCGCCCATTTTTATCATTTCCTTTCTTTGGATAGTGTCATCATACAGATTTAATTCATATGTGTAAATAATAATAAAACGCAGAGATATTTGTTCAAATGAATCAGACTTTGACTGCTTGGATTGCGAATGTAGTTTCTATCAATAGGAATTAAGTCTTGATATAATTTACTTAAAACCCAACTTGAAATATGTTCTTATCTATTACTTTTTTTTAAGATTGACGGAGAACAAAAATACTTACCTGTCAGGGAGGAAAACGGAAACCTCACAATTTTCATTAGTGGGAAGAATGTGCGTCTCGTGACTGCATGTGGACACAGAGTGTACTGGGACGGAAGGTCCGTGGCTCGTGTATCCGTTCCAAAGTCATACACGGGGAAGTTAACTGGGTTGTGCGGAGACTGTAACGGCAGAAAGGATGATTTCCGGACTAAAAATGGACTGGATGTGTCTAAGAAAAAGAACCGATACTCCATAATAGGGAACAGCTATATGAAGGGGAGACAGTATGCAGAAGACACGGAAAAGTAAGGCATTAGAGAACGAATTTAGACTCATAATAACTGACATTATACTCATGACACGTACAGTTGGGTTCCATAAACCAGCTATGTAATGATGACAGTATAAAGATGTCATAAAAAGCAAACTATATAAGATGGCAACAAAAGGGCTGACAATGTTCGGCAGGACAACAGGAATAAGCTATTGAGGGAAGTGTCATTATTGGTAGAACAGATCTTATTTATTTTCATTTTTGTCGTCAACCATGTAGCTCGATTATTTTCTATTTATCCAAACAACAAAACTAAAGTTATAACATGACAAAATATTCGGCATATTGAAGGTTAATCACTAGTTTTTACATGATAATTAACTCTTTATCTTGTGTAGCACCTAGACTTACCGCTAGTTTATCATATCGTTTATTTCATTATTGAATTAAAATTTGAATTGACGCTATAGTATCTATTTTTTACCATTTTAATCATGTTCTTACGTCGCAGCTGTGTCACTGTCGAGGATGATGTACGGTGTTCGAATCATATGACGGAGAGCGCTTCAAAGGGAGATCACTGCGGTTATATAAATCCGAGCTTCAATAAAGTATCTCCTTTCCAAAGTTGTGTAAAGGAAAACACCGCTATGGCTACTGACCTGTTCAACGCATGCAAGTTTGATGTCTGTGCATACTTTGATGATCCGACAACCCGACGTGATGTTGTATGTAGATCGTTGGAGGCTCTTGAAGCAGAATGTGAGACGAGAGGGTTCAACGTGAAATGGAGGAGTTCAAATTTATGTCGTAAGTAACTCCTCTCTGATACAAAACAACACATATCCTGTTGTTATGTGTTATGACTATTATATATATTTATAAATATAAACATAAGTGCTACTAATGCTATATAATTGAAATTGTTATACATGTTAATTCCCTGGTGTTATAAATATTACATAAAATATATTAACTGTATATGATAACATTTTTTTGTTGCTTTTTTGGATATAACTCTTCAGAAATAGTGTCATATAAAGTACAATTTTAATACTATTTCTCTTTTATCTAATTTAGCCATGAGCTCTGTCAGTTATCCTTGACTTATCTTGTTATTCAGCCATGACTTGCCCAAAGAACATGCGTTATAGCTCGGCCGTATCAGGATGCCCTTCCACATGCTTGACGCCAGAATCCGAGCAAGCGTGTGTATTAGATGATACGGAGGGATGTGAATGTCTTCCAGGCTTCCTCCTTAGCGGTACAGATTGTGTTCCTGTGGAACAGTGTGGTTGTCTAACTCCAAGAGGCGATTACCTTCCGGTAAGCAACATGTCATTCTGGAAAATGTCCTTAAGCATAGCATAATAATAGTACTATAATAATAATAATAAAACGAAAATGTAAACCTTTTTCGATCGAACGTCTATTTTGGCATTTTCTTAATTGTTTTCTTCTTTGTTCTGGTGTCTTCTCATTTATTCTTTTGACTTAACGGATCATATTTCAATGTTTTCCTTGATTGTTGATACTTTTATAAATACAATGTGTAAACTACGTTTAAATATATATGTGTCAAACATTGCCCCTTTGACATCTTACTGTGACTTTATTAAAGGGGCCGATGACAAAACAGACATGCATTCATATATTTTATGCTTTTTCAAGTTGAACGCCCCAACTGTATAGACTGCACAAATAACACAAGTAAACAGACACCGCTGTATTTCAACATGTCAACTGAGGGATTTGTACTAGGCAAGTGAAATACATATAACAGACTCGTATGTGAGATTTTCTCTTATTTTCCCTAAAGCTTGGCACGAGGTATGTATCTGATGACTGTACGACGGTGACAAAGTGCACCAACGAGAATGGCGAGGCGATATTGGAGCGCGTTACCATCAGTGAACGGTGCCACAAAGATGGCATGTGTGGGGTAGTGGACGGGTATCATCAATGCAAGTGCAAGGATGGGTACCATGGTGACGGCATCAACTCCTGTCTACGTAAGCAACTACACATTTTAATTTAATGCATTGATTGTCATGAATTTAAAATATTTAAACAACTATCAAAGTTGCCAGTTTGTTTTGTAAATCGGGTCCAGAAAATAATAAAATTTGCCTTTTTGCAATGAAAACTCCCTGATTTGAATCACACTAATGTTTACAGTGATAAAAACTTGCTGATTCTGAATCATTTAGTACCAATAGTGTTACTGCTATATATTTGAATATTCCTCTTATTTTCAATGTACTATATATTATTCTATTTTTTACATATAGTCTTGAATATTACCATATATCTTAAGTTCAACATTGTATATTACTCTATATCTTACGTTCAATATTGTATATTACTCTATATCTTACGTTCAATATTGTTTATTACCCTATATCTTACGTTCAATATTGTATATTACCCTATATCTTACCCTCATTGTTGTATATTAACCTATATCTTACCTTCAATATTGTATATTACCCTATATCTTACCTTCAATATTGTATATTACCCTATATCTCACCTTCAATATTGTATATCAACCTATATCTTTCCTTCAATATAATATATTACCCTATATCTTACATTCAATATTGTATATTACCCTATATCTTACCTTCATTGTTGTATATTAACCTATATCTTCCCTTCAAATATTGTATATTACCCTATATCTTACCTTCAATGTTGTATATTACCCTATATCTTACGTTCAGTATTGTATATTACCCGATATCTTATGTTCAATATTATATATTACACTTTATCTTACCTTCGATATTGTATATTACCCTGTATCCTACGTTCAATATTGTATATTACCCTATCTCTTACGTTCAGTATTGTATATGACCCTATATATTATGTTTAATATTGTATATTACCTTATATCTTACCTTCAATATCATATATTACACTATATCTTATGTTCAATATTGTATATTGCACTATATCTCACCTTCAATATTGTATATCAACCTATATCTTTCCTTCAATATAATATATTACCCTATATCTTACATTCAATATTGTATATTACACTATATCTTATGTTCAATATTGTATGTTACCCTATATATTACCTTCAATGTTGTATATTACCATATATCTTACATTCAATGTTGCATATTACCCTATATCTTACGTTCAGTATTGTATATGACCCTATATATTATGTTTAATATTGTATATTACCTTATATCTTACCTTCAATATCATATATTACACTATATCTTATGTTCAATATTGTATATTACACTATATCTCACCTTCAATATTGTATATCAACCTATATCTTTCCTTCAATATAATATATTACCCTATATCTTACATTCAATATTGTATATTACCCTATATCGTATGTTCAATATTGTATATTACACTATATCTTATGTTCAATAGTGTATATTACACTATATCTCACCTTCAATATTGTATATCAATATTTTATATTATCCTATATCTTACCTTCAATATTGTATATCAATATTTTATATTATCCTATATCTTACTTTCAGTATTGTATATCAATATTGTATATTACCCTATATCTCACCTTCAATATTGTATATCAATATTGTATATTACCCTATATCATATGTTCAATAATGTATATCACCCTATATCTTGCCTTCAATGTTGTATATTACCCTATATCTTACCTTCATTGTTGTATATTAACCTATATCTTACCTGCAAATTTTGTATATTACCCTATATCTTACCTTCAATATCGTATATTACACTATATCTTATGTTCAATAGTGTATATTACACTATATCTCACCTTCAATATTGTATATCAATATTGTATATTGCCCTATATCTCGCCTTCAATATTGTATATCAACCTATATCTTTCCTTCAATATAATATATTACCCTATATCTTACGTTCAGTATTGTATATTACCCGATATCTTATGTTCAATATTATATATTACACTTTATCTTACCTTCGATATTGTATATTACCCTATCTCTTACGTTCAGTATTGTATATGACCCTATATATTATGTTTAATATTGTATATTACCTTATATCTTACCTTCAATATCATATATTACACTATATCTTATGTTCAATAGTGTATATTACACTATATCTCACCTTCAATATTGTATATCAACCTATATCTTTCCTTCAATATAATATATTCCCCTATATCTTACATTCAATATTGTATATTACACTATATCTCACCTTCAATATTGTATATCAATATTGTATATTGCCCTATATCTCGCCTTCAATATTGTATATCAACCTATATCTTTCCTTCAATATAATATATTACCCTATATCTTACGTTCAGTATTGTATATTACCCGATATCTTATGTTCAATATTATATATTACCTTATATCTTACATTCAATATTGTATATTACCCTATATATAAATTAAAACAAAACAAAACTAAAGGTTCTGATTTTTGTACGCGAGCCTCCGTGTAAAATTTAGCCAGGTTTGAATACAACAGTTCATCATTGTAGCTTTCGAACGTATCGTCTAGATTCTTTTTCTTAAGATAAGCATGGAGGACATGCACTGCGTGTTTAATGACCTTTATTACATTAACAGCATCTTTATCCTCGAATAGTTTTGGTAATTTTCTGATGTAACGGAGGAGAAACGTTCGCCAGCAGCCATCTTCTAATATCGTCTGACAAATCGCGTTCAGTCTAATTGCGCATGCTCTACGACAGGTGCCGGAGAATTTCCATACAGGCTATATTTAGAAATCGATATTCACCGGATAACCAGTCTACATGAGTTTTTGAGGACTGGTCACGTGGATAGGATCCGACCAATGTGATTGCAAGAAATGTTCATGCATTTAATAATACCCTATATCTTATGTTCAATATTGTATATTACACTATATCTCACCTTCAATATTGTATATCAACCTATATCTTTCCTTCAATATAATATATTCCCCTATATCTTACATTCAATATTGTATATTACCCTATATCATATGTTCAATAATGTATATCACCCTATATCTGACCTTCAATGTTGTATAATACCCTATATCTTACATTCAATGTTGTATATTACCCTATATCTTACCTTCAATATTGTATATCAATATTGTATATTACCCTATATCTTATATTCAATATTGTATATTACGCTATATCTTATGTTCAATATTGTATATTACCCTATATCTTACCTTCAGTATTGCAGATTACTCTTTAACTAACTTAGAGTAATGTATTAACCCTACATCTTATTTACAGTAATGCAGATTACCCAATATCTAATAACAGGACTGTAGATGACCATATATCTTACGGATAATACTGTAGAGTACCCTATATCTACTAACAGTACTGTAGATTAACCTTTATTGTACGTACAGTGCTACACATTACTCTACGTATATGTACAATATGGTAGATTGCCCTATATTTCAGCCAAGGTTGTGTAATTCCCCTTTATTCTACCAACAACACCGTAGATTACCCTTTATGTTACGTACATTTAATTTTGCAACCTTTGCTAGATACATGAGATCACGATGCTTAACAAGAACATATGCGACAAAAACAAAGCACGCGAAGTAACCTGCAGTACTGATAACGTAAACATGGCTGAGAAGGGATATCATTATGTTCGATTTTTAATTAATAGTCGACTGTTTTCGGTACCATAGTTTGTAAGCGTATATTCTTTTGAATTAATGGAACCTTAATTTTAAGGACTTTGATTCTGATTGAATAATTAATTAATCAAAAGAAATATCATGTCCAATTGCAGCCATGTGTGGGGGACGTTTCAAGTGTCACGTCGACGCCGAATGCCAAAATGGAAAGTGCGTCTGTAAGGCAGGAAAATATGGAGACGGAACCAACAAGTGTTACGGTAGATAAACACATAACGATTAGATTTTCTATATCATAATCCCTTACCGTTCCATTTTACGACATCACTTACATTCATATACAAAATTTAGTTATGTGAGTTATGAACTCGAGATGTTAGCTGAGGAAGATACTTGCTAACGTCTACACTATAATTATAAATTAAACAAAAAAATAACACAGATGTACATGTAAAAAACAATTTTATATGAAATGCACACATTCTGCATCCATACATAGATATGATCGAGATAAAGATAGATAAAAAGACGGTTTGCAGAACGCAAGTAGCGGCTTTGCAAGCAATTCCACATTTAGCAAAAAAGTTTCAAAACCAATATTATATTCAACACTTTAAATTATTTATTGTAAACTTAATTTTCAGATGCTTGTGTATGCTCAGCTTCCGGAGACCCCCATTATCACTTATTTGACGGCCAAACAATCCATTTTATGGGAAATTGCAAATATCTATTGTCTAAGCTGACTGACAACAAGACATGTGGGTTTGATGTGCAGGTCGAAAATGAACACCGTCTCAATCAAAAACACGTGTCCTTCACCCGATTGGTTAACATTAAAATAGGACAACAGTCCATCACACTTCTTCAGGGGAGACGGTTACAGGTAAGGCACATTTAAAATCTTCAGGGGAGACGGTTACAGGTAAGGCACATTTAAAATCTTCAGGGGAGACGGTTACAGGTAAGGCACATTTAAAATCTTCAGGGGAGACGGTTACAGGTAAGGCACATTTAAAATCTTCAGGGGAGACGGTTACAGGTAAGGCACATTTAAAATCTTCATTCCTTTTTGTCTGTAATAGTTTGCGTTAAGCTATTGATTGATCAAAACTTGTATACAACCCCTTATGCTAACACCCCGTTTCCGTATGCTAGTTGCAAAAGTACCCATAGAATGTTTAGCAGAAAGAGAAGAGATATGTCTAATTCGTGATAAAACAATAGTCTGCGCTTGTATATTGTATTTGCAATGGAACCTGCCAGATTTTAAAGTCTAAAGACAGAAGATGTCTCTAGCGTTTCCTAGTCAACAAGGACAGTTCCTGTTTACTTGGAGTTCCGAAATTGATTTGTATTTTACTTTTATAACACCTCCTTTGTAAAACTAGAGGTGTTACAAAATATCTTCTATAGAACCGTCAAAACTCTTCAAGTCGAAGTTGAGTTGTGGAGACAAGAAAAAAACAACTTTAAGATATATTAGGTAATAAATTTATCTTCGATGGTCAAAACGATCATAAAGTTTATGTGATGTGATGTGATGTGCTCCCGTTTTATTTTGAAGGGATGGTAATCAATACCGTTATAAATTCGTCCTTTTTCTTTCAAATGTGTTCTACTGCCGTTTCCATTTGAAATGTGCGATCTTTTAAAATATGTATATTATATAAAAAAAACACAAGAATATGGTGAATGTAAACTCCGGAAAAATAATCATCAATATTGCATCACAGAGGCTACTTTTGATTTGGATTTTTTTGGATTGAAGGCACGGAATTAGACTATCTAAGCCCGCAATTAAAGGCGAATAATGTCTTTAAATTTAAACTATTTAACCTTTATTCTTTTCACAATTCCTGTGTCAAGAAAATGAATTATAGTCTGATTTTTCTCAATTTTGAAAAGAATTTAAAAAATGTAATCCTTGTTTTCTTATTATTATAGCCATATAATCAAAAAGTATTAGAAAGTGTCACATTATGGATGAAATTACAAACATGATGCATAACAAATTTTAATTGAACAGAGAACTCCTTAATTTAACATCATGTTGAATAGTATCGCACTTCAAAAAAAACATATATTGAATGATTTTAATGGAGGGTCTATCCATAACGCTTTGAGGCCGAACAAGTATGGCAACTGTTTAAAACAAAATGGCTTCTGAAAGTCACACATGGCTACTCTCTACTGATCTTTTAGGTCGAGGGTGAGCCCTGACAACTTGGATTATGCTATTAAATTTGATTATCACACAACATTTTCAAATCACAATCTCCTGTCTTTAAAATTAAAAATATCATATCTCCCCATATTTGACACATGGTCACAATGCTATATAGTAAAGGCCGGCAATATGCTCAAACGTCCAAAAACACAGTTACTGTAATTAACGTGTGAATGGAAACTTACAACGGCGGTTTAAACGATGCACATTTCACTTAAAGTTATCTCACGTGTTAGTGATACGCGCATTTACATACAAAGCATAGTATTCATCAATATAGCTTCAATGTTTATTTCTATCTTATGTTTCTAATTGAGATTAATGTATTTCAGAATGTTAATGAATTTTGTACATTGATGATATACTTGAATCATTATTTTATCATAGATTGATGACGTGCTAACGTTTACCCCGTATGAGGATCCCAAGGGACGATTTGTCGTTGTAATTAAGGGCAAATACATCACGCTGATCGGTAGGTGTGGCCTCGTTGTGATGTTTGATGGAAATCATGTTGTGAGTGTCATAGTTCCACGTGAATTAGGAAAGACACTGACCGGAATATGTGGAAACTGCAATGGAAAAGCGGATGATTTCAAAACTAAAAACGGTCGTGATGTTTCGAAGAATCCAAACAAATTTGTATACATAGGAAATAGCTACGAAGTAACAGATGTTACGGATGGAGCAAAGAAAGGGTAACTATAAGACGATTTTAATGATACTGTCGAAGCAGAGATCACATTCACTGCCAATGACACTGCCGGAGTAGAGAAAGTACCTACGGAGTAGAAAGGAGTAGAAAAAGTACCTACGGAGTAGAAAAGCACCTACGGAGTAGAAAAATGTTAATTTACTGACGTTGTAAAGAAAGGGTAGCTTGATCACTGACAGAGAAGAGAAAGCGTAGCTTTTGTACATCCTTTATGGTCAGAACGGGATCGAGATTTATTTAAAGTGCATCGCAAATCAAATTGAAGTTAAAGTAACATGGAAGCTATATAAGGTAAATCATAACAACGGAACTAATAATGAGTAGTGTAAGTCTTCTGTTATTGATACTGCCAGAATAGATAGAAAACGTTACGAATGATAGTGCTTTTGCAATGAAAGGGAAAAACTAGTTATGGCATTGACAAAGTAGAGGAAGGTAGCTGCACCACGTCGTAAGTAATAATGACGGTGGGGATGATGATACATGTAGCTAGCATACAAAGCAAAAGGTAGTGATGAGGCAAAGGAGAAATGTTAATTGTTATGAAATATCCTGGTATAACAATGAACAAGCTATATTAGTAAAATAAGGAGTATATAAGCATCATCCGTTCGGCAAGTGGATTGTTTTTTTTATGAAGAAAGAGACAGTTCACAAGCAAAAAATCGAAATCGTAACGGTTATCTTAAAAACACATATATCTATATTGATTACCCTTATAATTGACGGCTTTACTGATATCATTTCCATTTTATATTTTAACAGTTGTAAAAGCGATGATTATAAGGTTAGCTGTTCCAAAACCTGGGAAAGTCGTATCAAATCAGACGAACTTTGTGGAAAATTACTCGACAAAAAGGGTGTGTTTGGTAAATGTGTCAAAAAGGAGCCGAAATACGCCCAATCCTTCTTTGCTTCATGTCGGATTGACCTGTGCGCTGCCGAGGGCGACGAAATTCTTGCCACTAAGTTGTTGTGTCAGTCCCTAGAAGCGTTTGCAGACAATTGTCAGATGGACGGTGTCACCAATAAACATTGGAGAACCACGAATCTCTGTCGTAAGTATTATTCTAACGATCAAAAGAAGGTTCCACTCAAAGTATAGCTTATTAATGATACCATGGCTAAGTTTGAAAATCCTTATATTTTCGTTATAATTCATTTGAATATCCATGTCCCGCTTTTTGTTAATATAATCTTTTTATTGAATAATAAGTATCAGTAGGTTTTTTTCAGAAATTAATAATAACAGTGTTAGCTATGCCGATAACAATAGTTTTCAATATAAGAAAAATGACCAGTTTTTGACTCATTGAATGACAATCTACTTTGGAGTTTGCCACTTTAATATTTACTTGCTATACCTTTGTTACTTGCTACACCTATGCTACTTACTACATCTATGTTACTTGCTACACCTATGTTACTTGATACACCTATGTTACCTGCTACACCTATGTTACTTGTTACACCTATGTTACCTGCTACACCTATGTTACCTGCTACACTTATGTAACTTGCTTCTCTTATGTTACTTGCTACACCTATGTTACCTGCTACACTTATGTAACTTGCTACACCTATGTTACTTGCTTCACTTATGTTACTTGCTATATTTATGTTACCTGCTACACCTATTTTAACATCCTACACATATGTAACTTGCTACACCTATGGTACTTGCTTCACTTATGTTACTTGCTATACATATGTTACTTGCTACACCTATGTTACCTGCTACACATATGTAACTTGCTTCACCTATGTTACTTGCTACACCTATGTTACCTGCTACACATATGTTACTTGCTACACCTATGTTACTTGCTACACCTATGTTACTTGCTACTACTATGTTACTTGCTACTACTATGTTACTTGCTACTCCTATGTTACTTGCTACACCTATGTTACTTGCTACACCTATGTTACTTGCTACTACTATGTTACTTGCTACTACTATGTTACTTGCTACTCCTATGTTACTTGCTACACCTATGTTACTTGCTACACCTATGTTACTTGCTACTACTATGTTACTTGCTACTACTATGTTACTTGCTACTCCTATGTTACTTGCTACACCTATGTTACTTGCTACACCTATGTTACTTGCTACTACTATGTTACTTGCTACACCTATGTTACTTGCTACACCTATGTTACTTGCTACACCTGTGTTACTTGCTACTACTATGTTACTTGCTACTACTATGTTACTTGCTACTACTATGTTACTTGCTACTCCTATGTTACTTGCTACACCTATGTTACTTGCTACACCTATGTTACTTGCTACTACTATGTTACTTGCTACACCTATGTTACTTGCTACTCCTATGTTACTTGCTACACCTATGTTACTTGCTACACCTATGTTACTTGCTACTACTATGTTACTTGCTACTCCTATGTTACTTGCTACACCTATGTTACTTGCTACACCTATGTTACTTGCTACTACTATGTTACTTGCTACTCCTATGTTACTTGCTACACCTATGTTACTTGCTACACCTATGTTACTTGCTACTACTATGTTACTTGCTACTACTATGTTACTTGCTACTCCTATGTTACTTGCTACACCTATGTTACTTGCTACACCTATGTTACTTGCTACTACTATGTTACTTGCTACACCTATGTTACTTGCTACACCTGTGTTACTTGCTACTACTATGTTACTTGCTACTACTATGTTACTTGCTACTACTATGTTACTTGCTACTCCTATGTTACTTGCTACACCTATGTTACTTGCTACACCTATGTTACTTGCTACTACTATGTTACTTGCTACACCTATGTTACTTGCTACACCTATGTTACTTGCTACTACTATGTTACTTGCTACACCTATGTTACTTGCTACACCTATGTTACTTGCTACTACTATGTTACTTGCTACACCTATGTTACTTGCTACACCTATGTTACTTGCTACTACTATGTTACTTGCTACACCTATGTTACTTGCTACACCTATGTTACTTGCTACTACTATGTTACTTGCTACACCTATGTTACTTGCTACACCTATGTTACTTGCTACTACTATGTTACTTGCTACACCTATGTTACTTGCTACACCTATGTTACTTGCTACACCTATGTTACTTGCTACACCTATGTTACTTGCTACACCTGTGTTACTTGCTACTACTATGTTACTTGCTACTACTATGTTACTTGCTACTACTATGTTACTTGCTACACCTGTGTTACTTGCTACACCTATGTTACTTGCTACTACTATGTTACTTGCTACACCTATGTTACTTGCTACACCTATGTTACTTGCTACACCTATGTTACTTGCTACACCTATGTTACTTGCTACACCTATGTTACTTGCTACACCTATGTTACTTGCTACACCTATGTTACTTGCTACACCTATGTTACTTGCTACACCTATGTTACTTGCTACACCTATGTTACTTGCTACACCTATGTTACTTGCTACACCTATGTTACTTGCTACAACTGTGTTACTTGCTACTACTATGTTACTTGCTACTACTATGTTACTTGCTACACCTATGTTACTTGCTACACCTATGTTACTTGCTACTACTATGTTACTTGCTACTACTATGTTACTTGCTACACCTATGTTACTTGCTACACCTGTGTTACTTGCTACACCTATGTTATTTGCTACACCTATGTTACTTGCTACACCTATGTTACTTGCTACACCTATGTTACTTGCTACACCTATGTTATTTGCTACACCTATGTTACTTGCTACACATATGTTACTTGCTACACCTATGTTACTTGCTACACCTATGTTACTTGCTACACCTATGTTACTTGCTACACCTATGTTACTTGCTACACCTATGTTACTTGCTACACCTATGTTACTTGCTACACCTATGTTACTTGCTACACCTATGTTACTTGCTACACCTATGTTACTTGCTACACCTATGTTACTTGCTACACCTATGTTACTTGCTACACCTATGTTACTTGCTACACCTATGTTACTTGCTACACCTATGTTACTTGCTACACCTATGTTACTTGCTACACCTATGTTACTTGCTACTACTATGTTACTTGCTACACCTATGTTACTTGCTACACCTATGTTACTTGCTACACCTATGTTACTTGCTACTACTATGTTACTTGCTACACCTATGTTACTTGCTACACCTATGTTACTTGCTACACCTATGTTACTTGCTACACCTATGTTACTTGCTACACCTATGTTACTTGCTACACCTATGTTACTTGCTACACCTATGTTACTTGCTACTACTATGTTACTTGCTACACCTATGTTACTTGCTACACCTATGTTACTTGCTACACCTATGTTACTTGCTACACCTATGTTACTTGCTACACCTATGTTACTTGCTACACCTATGTTACTTGCTACACCTATGTTACTTGCTACACCTATGTTACTTGCTACACCTATGTTACTTGCTACACCTATGTTACTTGCTACACCTATGTTACTTGCTACACCTATGTTACTTGCTACACCTATGTTACTTGCTACACCTATGTTACTTGCTACACCTATGTTACTTGCTACACCTGTGTTACTTGCTACTCCTATGTTACTTGCTACTACTATGTTACTTGCTACACCTATGTAACTTGTTACACCTATGTAACTTGCTACACCTATGTTACTTGCTACACCTATGTTACTTGCTACACCTATGTTACTTGCTACACCTATGTTACTTGCTACTACTATGTTACTTGCTACACCTATGTAACTTGCTACACCTATGTTACTTGCTACACCTATGTTACTTGCTACACCTATGTTACTTGCTACACCTATGTTACTTGCTACTACTATGTTACTTGCTACACCTATGTAACTTGCTACACCTATGTTACTTGCTACACCTATGTTACTTGCTACACCTATGTTACTTGCTACACCTGTGTTACTTGCTACTACTATGTTACTTGCTACACCTATGTTACCTGCTACACATATGTTACTTGCTACACTTATGTTATTTGCTACACCTATGTTACTTGCTACTACTATGTTACTTGCTACACCTATGTTACTTGCTACACCTGTGTTACTTGCTACTACTATGTTACTTGCAACACCTGTGTTACTTGCTACACCTATGTTACTTGCTACACCTATGTTACTTGCTACACCTATGTTACTTGCTACACCTGTGTTACTTGCTACTACTATGTTACTTGCAACACCTGTGTTACTTGCTACACCTATGTTACTTGTTACACCTATGTTACTTGCTACACCTATGTTACTTGCAACACCTATGTTATTTGCTACACCTATGTTACTTGCTACACCTGTGCTACTTGCTACACCTGTGTTACTTGCTACTCCTATGTTACTTGCTACACCTATGTTATTTGCAACACCTGTGCTATTTGCTACCCCTATGTTACTTGCTACTACTATGTTACTTGCTACACCTATGTAACTTGTTACACCTATGTTACTTGCTACACCTATGTTACTTGCTACACCTATGTTATTTGCAACACCTGTGCTATTTGCTACACCTATGTTACTTGCTACACCTATGCTACTTGCTACACCTATGCTACTTGTGTTTTAATACTATCTATTTTGTTCACAGTTGTTGGAGTCTCGTCGCTACACATAAACAATTGTAATTACCATTCGTGATGTTTCGAATACCTATCGCTCTGTGTGTTTTCATTAGTCGCAGACTATAGAGGAACATCGTATTTTGAGAAATCTTTATAATATGTACACCCTTTTAGACATAAAACATCTAAAAAGATGATCAAAATATTTCATTACACGTGACTTTGTTTTTTTGATATATACATATAACAGATTAATATATTTCCTGTTGTATTTTGATGTCTCTGCCTGTTCAAGTCGGATGCGAGCTCTGGTCTCGAGTAGTGTGTTAACGCTGCATCACTTGGATTTGTATATTTTTGTATATATGATAGTTTTAAATAAACAGTGCCGTTCTCGCTTTCATGCACACAGCCCTAAAATGCTCTAGCTCAGAGGTGTACAACCCGGCTATAGTGGCCAGACCCCGCACCTGTGACGACCCGGACGCATCGGCGTCCTACTCACTTGCTCCTGTGGAGGGATGCATGTGTAAGGAGGGTTACGTTCTGAGTGGAATCAAATGTGTTAGACAGAGAGACTGTGGCTGCTTCTATAACAGAGAATATTTTCCGGTAAGTTTTTCCTGCGTGCAATATGAGAAAATAGCATTATAATGTCATACAGTTAATGATCAATACAAAAAAATCCAGTTTTAGTAAAACTCAGATATTTTCAACTTTAAAACAATAAGACGAACAACTTTTCTTAGAGGAAGAATAAACAGCATAGTTTAGAATGAGCTTTTCTTTGACAGCTGTACGGATTACAAACAATATCATATATTATTATACCTTATGTTATAATCTCGTAATCTCATTGGTTGAGAAAGATGTGAACATTTTCAATGTTACTTGCTCGTTTTACAAAGATAAAGAAGACAGGGTGACATTCCAAAAAATATCACATGGGCCAAACGTATGCATGCACGGTTCGTCCCAGTGCAAGAGTGTTATTCCAAAAATTGTTACATGCGCCAAAGGAAGCGTGCACGGTTCGTTCCAGTGCCAGGGTGTTATCAAATCACATTCATGGTTGGTTCATTCGACAACTGTTGAGATGAAGTCTTGGTTTATGTCAAATCAACACAAGAACCTTTAAAAATGGTGAAGTGGTAACACCTAAACATGACACTCGGTATTTTCACCCCTCTGAAAGCATTGTTGACCTCGGCTTCGCCTCGGTTAACAATGCTTCCTTGGGGTAAAAATATGCAATATTGCTCTCTCATGAATGTGATATTTATATAGTATAGAACACGGATTTGATATGTCAAACTCAAAATTATATAACTTATGATGCCGTGTTTATAGTGCCGTGTGTAAAGATTCAACTTTACGTTCCTAATGTTGTACAATTACGCTTTTTGACTGAGAAAAATAAATATGTAACAGTTCTATATACAGGAAATTTAGCACAATTTCAAAATAAGGAAAATATAAGGAGATGTTTTAGAAACATCTTATCAAATATGATGTTATAATTCGTGGGAAGGGGGAAAATCTTGCTAATGAGGTTACTGTTTAATACGTGTAATTTTCAGCAAAAAAAAGGAACATTGTACATTAAAACCTACTTAAGTGATACAACTACTTTTCACTTCTTGCAATACAAGGTTCTGAATTTCACAATACGATAATTAATAGTGCTGTATAACATCAGTAGCCCGAATTCCTTCTCATCAGGTGGTGATCGATTGTTATATATTGACCAAATTGCGAATGAATATATTCATTTAACTCATTCTTATTTCAATTTGTCAATTTGATCGATAGATGACAACCGATGACTTCCTGTGGAAAAGCCTTCATGAAATATATGCGCAAAGTACTCTTGCAAACTGATATCAGATGAAAATGTACATTGTATTTGGATGTGCCTATGAAATTATCATATTGTTGTTATTATATGGTACGTTATGTATTATCATGAAAACTTTAGTGTTACTATGTTGTAATTTGTTCACATAAAATGATAAGATAATTATTTTTTGGTTATCAGTTCATGTGGCAGTCCTTTTGAAGCGATAGTGGTTACTGTATTGTAGTTCACATTTCGATTCACATGTTCTTTAGTGTGGTTCAAATGTACTTAATTGAAGTTCATAGTGTTTTTATTGGAACTCTCTTTTGAGGTATCATAGGGTTGTTTTCACGCGGGAAAGAGTATAAAAAAATCAAATATTGATTTAAAAAATAACCAAGAAAGGCAAATGATAGTTAGTCATTAATACTAATCAGAATTTCCAAATTCTGTTTATGATCTAATTTAATAAATTCAGCAATTAATTAAGAAATAATATCTTATAACTGTTATGAATTTTCCGTCAGAAAAAAAATCGAAAGATATTTTGCAGGTGAATGGCACGGGACCTCTCACAAACTGTGAACAGGAACAGACCTGCGTCCACAAAGACGGATTGAATAGCATGGAGACTGTGGAAAGAAAGCTCAGTTGCCGCCGCAATGCTGAGTGCAGAAATGTTGATGGCATGTACAAGTGCCAATGTCGTGTGGGCTTTAAAGGGAATAACAACACTGGATGTAAAGGTAAACATAGAATGCTGTCCACATGTCGTGTTAGTTCCTTGTTCGGGTATGACCAGTTTGTCATGTTTTCACTTGCTCTAATTGGTTTTGTATCACGTGTTTGATCCTAAAGATTTGGTGAGAGCAGATGATGACTGAAATGTTATATTTCAGTTAAACTGGTGGTGACTGTACATGTTATAGTTTAGTTAAACTGGTGGTGACTGTACATGTAATAGTTTAGTTAGACTGATTATGACTGTACATGTAATAGTTTAGTTTGACTGATGATGACTGTACATGTTATAGTTTAGTAAGACTGATTATAACTGTACATGTTATAGTTTAGTTAGACTGATGGTGATTGTATATGTTATAGTTTAGTTAGACTGGTGGTGACTGTACATGTGATAGTTTAGTTAGACTGATGGTGACTGTACATGTTATAGTTTAGTTAGACTGATGATGACTGTGCATGTTATAGTTTAGTTAGACTGATGGTGACTGTACATGTTATAGTTTAGTTAGACTGATGGTGACTGTATATGTTATAGTTAAGTTAGACTGATTATGACTGTACATGTTATAGTTTAGTTAGACTGATGATGACTGTGCATGTTATAGTTTAGTTAGACTGATGGTGACTGTATATGTTATAGTTAAGTTAGACTGATTATGACTGTACATGTTATAGTTTAGTTAGACTGGTGGTGACTGTACATGTTATAGTTTAGTTAGACTGATGATCACTTTACATGTTATAGTTTAGTTAAACTGATGGTGATTGTATATGTTATAGTTAAGTTAGACTGATTATGACTGTACATGTAATAGTTTAGTTTGACTGATGATGACTGTACATGTTATAGTTTAGTAAGACTGATTATAACTGTACATGTTATAGTTTAGTTAGACTGACGATGACTTTACATGTTATAGTTTAGTTAAACTGATGGTGATTGTATATGTTATAGTTAAGTTAGACTGATTATGACTGTACATGTTATAGTTTAGTTAGACTGGTGGTGACTGTACATGTGATAGTTTAGTTAGACTGGTGGTGACTGTACATGTAATAGTTTAGTTAGACTGGTGGTGACTGTACATGTAATAGTTTAGTTAGACTGGTGGTGACTGTACATGTTATAGTTTAGTTAGACTGATGATGACTGTGCATGTTATAGTTTAGTTAGACTGATGGTGACTGTACATGTTATAGTTTAGTTAGACTGATGATGACTGTACATGTTATAGTTTAGTAAGACTGATTATAACTGTACATGTTATAGTTTAGTTAGACTGATGATGACTTTACATGTTATAGTTTAGTTAAACTGATGGTGATTGTATATGTTATAGTTAAGTTAGACTGATTATGACTGTACATGTAATAGTTTAGTTTGACTGATGATGACTGTACATGTTATAGTTTAGTGAGACTGATGGTGTGACTGTACATGTTATAGTTTAGTTAGATTGATGGTGTGACTGTACATGTTATAGTGTAGTTAGACTGATGGTGTGACTGTACATGTTATATTTTAGTTAGACTGATGGTGTGACTGTACATGTTATAGTTTAGTTAGACCGATGATAACCTACATGTTATAGTTTAGTTAGACTGATTGTGTGACTGTACATGTTATAGTTTAGTTAGACCGATGGTGTGACTGTACATGTTATAGTTTAGTTAGACTGATGGTGATTGTATATGTTATAGTTTAGTTAGACTGAGTATGACTGTACATGTAATAGTTTAGTTAGACTGATGGTGACTTACATGTTATAGTTTAGTTAGACTGATGGTGTGACTGTACATGTTATAGTTTAGTTAGACTGATGGTGTGACTGTACATGTTATAGTTTAGTTAGACTGATGATAACCTACATGTTATGGTTTAGTTAGACTGATGATAACTTACATGTTATATTTCTATTAAACTAATGGCGACTATACATGTTAAAGTTAAATCAGACAGATGTTGACCTAAAAGTTATATTTCAGGTAATCTGATGATGACTATACATGTCATAGTTATGTTCGACTGATGATGACTGTAGATATTATCGTGTTTATAGACTGCATAAAGAAAACGCTATACCTCTCAAAATGGAACATAAATTACAGACAGACGAAATACTGACAGCTTTCAATCGAGCTGGTGTACCTCTGATATCGCTTGCTCATTCATAAACTGGTGACGAAATAATTTCCAACATACGTTAACATAGTAACATTGCCCTGATATTGAAATTTCATTTCTTTTTACAATAAGTACTCATTAATTTGTAACATTATATGCTTGTTAATCGTTATTTATGTTTGTACAATTTATTTCAATATTTGTTTGTATGTTTCATTATCAGAAATCAAAGTCAAGAATCCTACATCACCAAAACCTTCGGCTAAACCAACACCAGAATCAACAAATAAACCAACTCAACCGCAAACCGCTAAACCAACTCCAGAACCAACAACGAGACCCCGACGACCAAAATATGGTAAAATGTTATTTACAATATCTAACTCAAATAAATCATGAAGACATCTTTTTATTGCAAATATATTCTGCAAAAAGGGCATCAACGAAATCAGTACAAGTCAAAAGTCTGGAAAACATTTCCAGTTGGGTTTTGTAATTGTTCCCCATGTTCGTGATACCTTATGCAGTTACAATCGATATGTTGATTCATTTGTTATATCACTGTTTTCAAACACCACTACGTCGATCTTTGATATCGCTTTTCGATTAAAAAAACGAGATTTGAAGGATTTTTTTGTGAAAATGAGTCATGCAAAACAATTATTTGTTTCTTTGAGAATGCACTGTTAACACAATAATAATATGTATCTATACATATATATATATATAACGTCAGTGATTTGACAGTTTTATTATTTATACAAATATCTGATAAAGATACCTTCAGATTTGATGCATGCTTATTTGTAGTATGTTAATAGTTTCAGTACAGCACATGTGCCTACAGATTTAACCAAAAATATATGTACTACCGTGCAGATTTTATGCTTGATTCGTGTCAGAGATATCGCCCTTAAATGTTTAAATAATTATCATATAAATTGATAGAAAATATCTTTTGGACTATTTATTTGATGCTGTATATGCTTCTTAGGTGCAAAGCAACACTACAACATTTTTCGACGTAAGGTATTGTTCATCTAATGGTGATGTCAATAATTCTTCAAAAATAACTGTTCTTTAAAAAAATGGTATCTAAATAATTTCTTAAAATGTATACCTTTTTGTACCGCTAAAATATTTTCACAAGTTTCTTCATTGGGGACTCTTTTTTGTAATGAAACTTTACGTCACAGTTGGTGTTTACTCTAAACATGATGTAATGTTTTACTTTTTACAGTTCCGTATTCCGAATGCAAAATTAGCATGAAACACCAATCGTGTGGTAGTTCTCTTACACTTTCTGGAGCTTGCCAGTACCGGTCGCAGTTTTCCGACCAATGTCAATACTCCGTTCTCATGCTAAAGCTTGGTAACAAGATATTCGCCAAAGTGCAAATCAACAGAAGGGTTCGTATCCTTAAGCATGGCAAGAAGTTTAGCGACTGTGCCTCCTTCCTTATGGTCAACTCAACGGTCACCATAACAGACAACGTCTGCGAGAAATGTACATTAGAATTCATCAGAAATCTCACCCCTCGACGCGCATGCAAAGGTTCGTAGAAGATTGTACGCAAGTTAACTTATTTTTTACATTAGCTTTATGATGGGAAATGTTTCGTTTCGTTTTAAACAAAAACAGAATTCTACACGAGGTCATAAATGCTTTTCAAAATATGTAAATGCGATTTCAACTCGGTGAGAAGGTATTTTGCCAAACGCAAATCCGAAAAATATTTTAGAGATAATACAACTGTTTGAAAGTACAAATTTTGAAATTCATCACAATTATAGTGAGTGTAGTAGGATGACAACATATGTTTTATTGTCAGTAATGTTTGATACATTTAAGCCAAAATATAATGTATGTTTTTGTTAGGGTTTATATTTCCAAGATTATAAGGGTATGTAGGTAAAGATGTTTATATATATATATGAATAAACAGTTCCCCTGATGAACCTCTAAAGAGGAGAAAACGCTAGGGAAGTCGAAGAAACTCTTGTCTTTTTTTATTTTATTTATTTATATATATATATTTCAACTACAAATTTATTACTTTTGTTATTTTAATAATAGTTAATAGTTGCTGACTTAACTAAAATAAAGATGTCTTTTTGATGACAAAAAAAACGCAAAACATAATTAAACTAGAATATTTGCAACCATTCTGTATCCATCTGAGAATCAAATGAAAAGTGAAATGGCAGAACTCTTTGGCAAATAATTCAATACTAGGTAAATAAATGCGAAAAAATATTTGGTTTACCTTATAGAGTTTTCATGATATGTTTCTTACTTTAAGACGATTTTATCTTATTAAAGGTATTCAGATTTGGTCACTAACAGATTACTCCCGTTATTTTTTGATATCGATATTTTTTTGAAATATATGTAAAATTCTAATATGTTTAAGACATGAAAATGCAGTAAAGATATACCTAACAGTGTTTTATATGTATCTTAGTCATGTTTTTATTTTATATTTCAGCACCATAGGGCTAACTTTCTGAAACACATCAGGCTGATCCGATGTATTCCTGAAGGAATAACGCTGTTATATGTGTTTACTCAATTAAATATTAAAATATTCAGTCATAAGCGTAGTTGTGAGTGTCTAATTGAAAGGTGATGAACATATACAAAAGAAGTTCTAATATTTAACTGACGTCGTTTGAATATTCTACATCTCGTTTTCTAACATCCCTGAGTAGCCGTTTCCATAGTCCTCATATCAACATTCAGCAACTGCAAAGACATTAAAACAAATAAATCTGACGTCGTTTTTAAAATGAACATAATTTTGAATGAATGGAAGCCAAAATATGATTTTCACAAAATATAAATTTCCGAATTTACAATCGAAACGTCACAGGGTGAGATCAATTATAAAGGTATTTTTGCAGGTTTGAAATTTATATCATTTCGGCACTTTTTAATATGACATGTAGATATCTATTGTTTTACTTCAGACAGTTTGTAACAAATATATATCATAACGTTAAATGAGCATCATTGTATCGTATAACAAACTTAAGCATGTTGCAATATTCCCAGGTTACATGTTCGCCTGTCGTGTAACACAAGGGATGCGAGTGGCCATTTCCGTTGTCAGGGTTTCCAGGATTCCTACAGTAGTTGACATCCCCGTTTGGGCGCGTGCTGTACTTGTTATGGTGAGGGTACTGGGAGCCCCATCCCTGACACACTCTTCCAGATACAATGCGGCCCCAGCTTCCCGTGTAGTCTGTCCCAGACTGGGTATGCTTACACTCTACGACAATACATAGGTTATTTCTTTTCTTGATATATAAATGACTATCGAGTCTCTACACAATAGATACAAACAGCCTGGTAAAAAGCAACACCTGTTTTGGATGATTAATCAAACTTATTAAATAGAATTTATTTTAAAACTGTTTTTATGTATTTAACTGTAGTCCCTATTTTTTATATATTTGAAAATTCATGAAAAAAAAGTAAGAAAATGATGATCAAGAAATATATAGGTCTGCGGAATTTTCTCACAAATATTGGTTTCCTGTTCAATGCCAAATATCTTAACAAAGTATAACACAGTAACGATGTTTTCGACAAATGCGAAGCACGAATGTAAAAACTATTGACATATTCTGCAAAACGGGTGAACTAAATGTTTGGTATTAAGGTAAAACCATGAAGTATCAGCTATGTATGTGTATTATCAAATGTGTAGTTTGGTAAATACTTCAGTGTACGTATTAAAGTTGTTATAAAACAAATTCTTATTGTACAATAGCTTAATTTGAATCTGATCAGGAAATCTGAAGCTTTGGATGCAGATAAATTTAATTACCGTTCTTATCGGTCAATAAAAAATTTGAAATTTTCATACTGCAACATATATAATTTTTGGCATTTGTCATAGTTTTAAAATCATCAGTTTTATCAAGTTAATTCAGATGGGTTTTGAAATCTTAATTTCAATCTTACAACAAATGTGCCTTCATTTAGCAATGCACGAAATATATACTTCCCAACTAACCACATACTTCCCAACTGAAAGAGTAATTCTTATATACAACTACACGATTGCGGAAGTCCACTGGCACTAGTTGTAACAAGAGTGTTGATAGGGTTTATTTACCCGTTATTGGTGGGCTTGTGATTGTGTACACAATTTTTTCTACAACGCAATAATCCTTATAGAGTAAAGGATGACAGAAACATCATGTCTGTTGTAGAACATAACATTTCTTCTGACGTTTGAGGCTATTTATATCTTATCGTGGTACACACTTTTGTAAAACCCATTGTAACACAAACTTAGTCAATCGTGTAAACTAAACACTTTGTTGTATATACTGTCGTGTTTTAATCGAAACAAGCAAACAATGTCTGTTTGTACGTTCATAAAAGACTTCATATAAAACTAATAGTTTATGTTATAAAGTTTGTTCAAAATAAAGAAATAATTTACCTCTTCGTTAAATAAGATATAACGAAGAGGTAATAACAATGTCCAGGCAAGCATCCTCTTTGCTACTCGATAGACGAGTCGACAAAATAGATATCACATGAAGCATGGCATTTATCTTGTAAATTGCATTTTTTTTAAAGTTCCTATCTTTCAGTTTCTGTGTGTTATAACTGACCGAACTCCAGATAAAACTGTTTAGTTGTTGGTTGGTGAACACAATGGGCGAGAGTCATGGCTTTACTTTATACACAAACAACGTAAGCATAAACGTGGCATAACGGTTGATCTCTGTCAAGTCATAACTCAGTGGGTGATATGCCTGACAAAGGACCAAGTCGGTCTGTAATGGTTTCTACATATTCATAGTAGGTTGTTTTGTATCAAGTGGAACCTTGAAACACACACATGTTCAAACTGATCAATCTAATTGGATTTTTTGACACACAATATTTCGGAGGACAATAAGACATACATAATTATTACTTGTCTAACCGCACTGATGAAGATTTTCACTTTCTCGGTGTTAAAACAAATGATAAAATACCCACCGCAACCATGGTCATTCCAGATACTACCTCTCAATCGTCCGACGCTGAAACCATTCCTACATTCGGCCGCACTAGTCTTTCTTGTTAATCCTACATAAGTTATGTACTTGGCATTTTCAACGTCACATTGCATGAACGTGTTTCCAGAGCTGGACCAAGTTAATTCCAAGTACACTGCTTCTGAAATCAAGGACGACACCGACCTCAAACGTTCTATCGACCAATCGACGAGCCAGATGCAGTGAGTGACACGCTGAAACAACCGTTCGGTTTGTGGGCGTGTTCTTTTTGAACACGGCTTGTTGACGCCGTAACGATTTTAATTGTAAACAAAGGAATAAATACTATTTAATACTTCAAAACTATTATTGTTTACACCGCACGGGACAACTCCATCCTAGGGCCCGTTTTCTCTCGGTGTCAAGTTCAAACTCTTGAATTTTGCATGTCTCGAAGTGTTTTTCTGCATGGAGTCTGAATACAGAATTCCACATCTTTATCATTATTCAATAATTCTGTTTCCCTCGATATTGTCCGGTTCAGAGTCTGAGTCTTCATGAGGAACTGTTGATGGACGAAGTATCCGAGCTGGACATGGTCTGTCTTCAGTGTCCGAGGCTATAAGTGATCGACCATCATGACTAGGTTTGGTCACCAGCTTGAACTCCTCTGTAGTTAGCCTTCTGGTAAATACAGTCCGGTCATTTGGGTGTCCAGCTTGATCTTCTACAGGCATAAGTGTCTGGCCCTTATTCTTGGGAATATTTCCAGGTTGAAAATGATTTTTCCTCCTCTTAGTATCTCCCTTCATAGTAGTAATAGTAGTAGTGGTGGTCAGTGGTCAGTTGTGTTGAGAATCCAAAATCAGAGTGGTGCTGACCACTTGTCTACTCATTCTTATGTAGTTTGTTTGTTATCAACTTTAAAGATGATGATTTAGAAAACAGGAGAGCCTTAACATCAAAGAGATAGGTCCCTTTCAC